TCGATTACAATGTGTATGAAATTGATAATCCGAATCAAAAGAATATTGGAAATTGGTAATCGACGATAAATAATCTGCTGTTTGAATGGCACAAAGTAACAAACAACATTGTTCGCGTTAATATTTTAAGAACACGGAAAGCTAACTTGTACGATCATTTTTAATTGTGCAGAAATCAATCGATTCGTTCAGTAATTCTGTTACATTTGTCGAGTAACACTGTAGCTAGTTCAGCAAAGAATTTATTTACTCGAGCATAGGAAGTTGAAAATTTCGAACGATACGTATCGTTGATCTCTTCGTAACGTTACATAAATAATACAATTCTGTTCTTTGCATGAAACTAATCGGCCAAAGATTTCGCTCTTCTTCGCACAGATACACATGTCCGCTTTTCGTACAGCCTTCTTACGAGTTCTCTATAGCGTGACAAAAAATTCGCCGAGCCAACAACCGCGTGAATATTGAATGCGACCAATTAGGATCTATTTGGATCGTTTTGCGTGACTCCGAATATCACGATAAACTCGCAGTCCTCCCCCCCTCCCCCTCGGGAGATTTAACGACATTACGTGTTTAGCGAACAAGATTTTTCTGCCAATTATCTTGCATCAATTATTTCGGCCGTAGACGGTGATTACTTGTTCGCACAATGATTGTTCATGCCGTTGAACAAAACCGAATTGCGGGCCATTCGTTCCATTCCGTGTTCCGCTGTCGACCGCTACGGGATCCATCGAGACCTTTAATGAGATTACGGAGAAACCGGTGTAAAAATGATGGAAACGCGGCTTAATTGACAATCCGACGGAGGCAATAAAATCAACAATGCGCGGCGCATTTTACAACCAGGCCAACCGATTACGCAACGTGCTCGAATTTCGTTGTGCTGCCGAGTCTCCAAGCCTTTTGAATCATTTGCCGCAGCATCGATGTTTCTGTACTCGCATTTGTCCAAGTACATATTTTAGTAGAAAATATACAAGCATTAACGCCCGTAGGCTCCAAAGAAATAATTCTACATAATTTGTACAAACGATGTTTGACTTCGATGAATTTCGTTCGACATTTCAATTCAACCAATTATGTTCTATTCGTAATTTCACGCTTTGAATTTACGACACGAAGAAACGTGAAATTGTGTACAGTAACTGAGATTTGAATTGTTTGAACCGCAGAACTATTTTTATTTCTGCTCTAACAACCAAACAATTTTCGACGATTAAAGAATCAAAATTGAATGAGGAATCGTAATCGGTTTTATATGAGAAACTGTATTCAACAGCTGTTACGAATTTCAATTGTTTCTCCTTGGCGATGCGAAGAAGGAATTTAGTTTTGTTCATACATATTGAAGTATAAGCGGCACCACGAAAGAAACGGAAATTAAAGGAACGACGATAGTTCCTTGTTTGAACTGCAGAATTATTTTTATTTCTGCTCTAACAACCAAACAATTTTTCGACGATTAAAGAATCAAAATTGAATGAGGAATCGTAATCGGTTTTATATGAGAAACTGTATTCAGCAGCTGTTACGAATTTCAATTTTTTCTCCTTGGCGATGCGAAGAAGGAATTTAGTTTTGTTAATACATATTGAAGTATAATATAAGCGGCGCCACGAAAGAAACAGAAATTAAAGGAACGGCGATAGTTTGTAGATTGGGTGGGCTATAAAATTGGAACAAAAATTGTTTCGACTTAATGGCGGTTCCAATTATGGCGACAGGTGTACTGACGAGAACACGCTACGTTTCAAGTTAATCTGTCGAGTAGATATCACGACAGCCAATTTAAATCAGAACCTGAAAAAGAACGAGTTCGAAGCTTTGTGTGTACAACAAGCTTTAGCACTTCTCGAGATGTGCATCGCCTCTCTCGAACCGCTACAGTTTTTCCAATGCCGGGCATTTAGAGGACCCTTCTAAAATACGCATTGTCGAAATTCTATTCTTTAAAAGATCAATATCGAATAAACCGAAGCAACATTAACCTCTTAGCTGTACAAGACGAGCATATTCGTAATGAGAATGCAGCAATTACTAGTCTACGAAATAGTGAAAACTTCGAAAAAGTATATTAATCTTATCGTTTCTTAGTAATCAAAATTGTACAGATGAGAAATTTATGTAATTCCTATTTTTTCAATTGTCGCGGAAAATTTGGTTTCTTGATCAAAAAGTCCATAGTTCGGTAAATTATCGCGAAGAACCAAAGAAAGAGCAAGAATCGAAGCAGAAATTATAAAACAAATTTTTAAAGAACTGTACGCAGCGTGATCGATAAAACTAGTCTGCGAAGTAGTTAAAATTTCGAAAAAGTATATTAGTCTTGTCGTTTCTTAGTAATCAAAATTGTACAGATGAGAAATTTATGTAATTCCTATTTTTTCAATTGTCGCGGAAAATTTTGTTTCTTGGTCAAAAAGTCCATAGTTCGGTAAATTATCGCGAAGAACCAAAGAAAGAACAAAAATCGAAGCAGAAATTATAAAACAAATTTTTAAAGAACTGTACGCAGCGTGATCGATAAAACTAGTCTGCGAAGTAGTTAAAATTTCGAAAAAGTATATTAGTCTTGTCGTTTCTTAGTAATCAAAATTGTACAGACGAGAAATTTATGTAATCCCTATTTTTTCAATTGTCGCGGAAAATTTGGTTTTTTCGTCAAAAAGTCCATAGTTCGGAAAATTATCGCGAGAAACCAAAGAACAAGAATCGAATTATTATTATAAAATTAAAAATTATATTTTTAAAGAACTGTACGCAGCGTGATAATTGCGATTCAACGTGGATACGCATTTAAACAAATCAGATTACGCAGCTAAGAGATCGAACACAGTTAAAACCCGAGAATTTGCACGAAGTACATGTAAAAGCGTGCCGCAAGAATCGCGCAAAGATTCGTGTAATTTCTATGCGCGATCGATTAGGTAACAGTAAATTTTCTGTTGCTTGTATCAGCGTTGTCTGTCAGAATTGCGACAATACTCTTTGTCGACCGAATACAAAACTGACGTCATTGGTGCCCCGGGTCCATCCAGCGACTTCTGTTTTTTTTTTCTTTTATTTTTCAATTCGCACGAATCATCGGGATTCAGCAAATTGGCTCGGCCAGGGGTTGCGGCGGGCCGTACGGCGAGGTCCACTGGCCCACGGGGTGGGTCAGGGCTGCTGGCGTCTGCTGCCTGTCCAAACTCGGGACAGTGGTCCCCGCTGGATGGCTGGATACCGTCGTCGGATAAGCCACTTTGCCGAGTGCCTCCGCTTGGAGGGACAACATCAAGCGATTCGCCGCCTGCCTCTCAGCTTCTCTTTCTTCCGCGGTTTGTCTCCTGTAACAGACATGGAAACTGAAGATGATCGAGCAGTCACGTTCGAGCGGAAACTTCAACGTCTCTTAAAGTTTTATTTGCGTTCTTTCAGGAAACGAATAATCGCTCCGCGCGTTTGTTACTTTTTGCCTTTATTGCATCGTGCCCGAGAAACACTTCCCACTCTTTGTCTTTCACCGATAGTTCCTATATTATCTATATTCTATATTATATTATCTATGTTCTACAGGGTGTCCCGAAAATGTCTCACAATCCGGAAATGGGAGGTTCCTGAGGTCATTTGAAGCAACTTTTTCCTTTGCGAAAATTTTCTCCGAGGCTTCGTTTACGAGTTATTAACGAAAAACACTGACCAATAAGAGACGAGCTCGGCTGGCGTGCGGCGGCCCAGCCAACGAGCGCACGGAGCCCAGTTCCGCTCATTGGCTCGGCCGTCTCGCGCCAAATGATCTCGCCTCTGATTGGTCACTGTTTTTCGTTAATAACTCTTAAACGAAGCCGCGAATTGCATTTTCGCTAAGGAAAAAGTTGCTTCAAATGATCACAGGAATCCCCTACTTTCGGATTGCGAGACATTTTTGGGACACCCTGTATATTATATTTTCTATATTCTATATTATATTACGATTATTCTATATTATATCTATTACGAAAAAGAAAAACGAACGGACATCGCGCGCGCACGCATTCCGTGCGAGAGCTCTGAATGTTCTCGGCGTTCTTCCGTTAGATTATGCGAGTTCGGGCGAATCGACAACAGTATGTCTCTACTTTATCTTCAATAACGTCTACTCGCAACACGAGTATGGTCTAATCATAATCAATGCGATCTTCTTTTTCAGATTCTGCGATCGCCGCCGGTTCGCAGTTGGACGCGATTCGTTATTACCAGGATACGGATTTTTGTGCAAGATAAAAATTACATAAAAATACTACAACTGACTGATTGGAAGAATTCGAGAATATTTTTATATTGTGCGTAACTTATTAAAATGATTAAAAGAGAAAAGACCTTTTCGCGTGACTGACGTTTCTTATAATTAACCCCTTGACGTACAAATAAAACGGAATTTGATGCGTCCGAGAAATACTATTTAATTTAGCTCGACTGAACAGTTATACGCAAGCTGAGATAGAGAATGTTTTGCTTTGAAATTTGGTTTACTGATTCGTGGACGCAACTTTGTTGTTGGTACCGTCGAGAAGGTGGGAGGGTGGGGCATTTTGTACATTGTAAACAAACCAGAATCGACGCAATGTAATAATATACTCTACGGTGTCCGTCGAAAACAGCCCTTAACAAATTAGACTCGTCAAAATCTACAGTAGCACATGAAATAAAGGACGTCTTCAACTCGTCATTGTAAGTCAAGGGTTTAATATTGTTACGGCAACTTGTCCAAATCAAGTCGCTGTAATATGAAACTGCCCTGTTGCGAGCAACTCCTTAAAAAATTATGTAAGATAAGGATTGCCACGAAAGAGTGTTACCAAAATAGACAATCGAGGAGAGTCGAGATCGGACCGTCGTACGAGCAACATTTCAAATTGAAAGATCTGAAATATGATTGTATCGAGTTGTATTATAGTTTATATTCTTTATTGTAAATAAAATGCCGCGACGCGAGAGAAACGGAGTGATTCGCAACAATATTTTAAGGGATTACAATTTTTATTTCGTTTAACGCTAAACGCGTTCCTCACGAATTCTTTGAGCAAAGCTTTGCACACGGTTCGATGATCGGAGTATCAACAGCGAAATGATAAAAGAGGAAAACCTCTCGAGTACAACGAGTTTGGTCGGAGAGCAGAGAACGAGAAAATGGCGGAGCAGAGACCGGAGAAATTGAACGGGAGAAGCCGAGGGTGAAAAGAGAGTGGCGGTTGTCGGAGTGGTGGAAAACAGAAGACAAACGTAATAAAGTTAATTCGATTCGTTGGTGGCACGAGGGTCCGTCTTTAAGGGGAAGCTCGAGGGTGTCTGTTTTCTAGCACTAACAACGGAAGGACTCCAATTGGTCGGCTTCGATTACGATGCGCATTTGCGGAATGGTTGCATAGACGTTCTTAATCGTGTTCGTGAAATATTAGGTGCGATTCTTGGCTGCTTTGAAAGATGCAAGTGTTTCATTGAAATTAAAATTAGTTACTTCGGTCTGACTCGCAATAACCCGTTAAGCACGAATGATATTCCGTTCTTTTAACCAGTTAGCTGTGTTCGACGAGTATACTCGTCATGGAGAAATGGCCATATTTTGTGACACGACGAGTATACTCGTCGTGTGTAAGAAGCAGTGACCATTAGCTATTTAAATTGTAATTTTAAGGAAAACAAAAACATATTCTCAAATTTCAAGATGTTCAGAATATTTCGAGGCCATTCCTGCACGAAGTTGTTTACATCATTATAAAAAAAAAATTAGAAAAGAATCACGGTATTGGTGTTCGACGTGCAAAGTGCCATTATATATTGTTCCTTGCTTTGCTAAATACCACTCTCTCTACAGCAGCAATTTGAATTTTTAACTTTTATAAGTATTCGATTATCCCTGGGTTTTTCGTTTATTATGTATATGGTATATATTAAGGTCAAGCGAACAAGTAAATATTAGTAATGAAATTGTTAATTTTATCAAATAAAACCGTCTTTTTGATGCAATATTTTAACAGCGACACTTACATTTTGTTCGACGAGTATATTCGTCGTCGCTTGATTCTCGCGACACATATAGGTGCGCGCTCTGAAATGAAGGCGCCACAGATAACTGTGGTTACATTGAAATAAAATTCTATCATCTTGTCGTCAATGTTACTTAAGTACTGGATTAAATATAAATGTTGTTTCTCGTCTAAGAAATTATGACAATCGAAAGAGATGCTTCGTAATTGAGAAGAAAGTGCTTAATTTTGCTCTGAAGGAGTTGTAATCTTGGTCAGTTTCAATAATCCTGCATCGCGTTTAGAACTTTCAAGGGGCGTCTAATTTCAATTAGTTATTGGCATAAATTTTGTTGAACTAATTTAGAAAAGATGGAATTGAGTTGTCTTCGTTCTATTAAGAGAAGTCTAATCTTCCATCGAGATCAAAGTTATTTCGAATGTGGTAATTTATATAACGTCGTGCCGAGGACCTGTTTTCCGCCACCCAGAAAAGCCCATTATAATTGAAGCTGACAAATTAAAGCCTCGTATTAGGAATCCACGAAATGACTGACTCATCGGCGGCGTTAATGGCCCGCTCAACTGGAAATCCTTATCGAAATCTCTTCTAGTTCTGAGTAGACGTTTCCTTCAACGATATCTAAGGCATGGGGCAACCTGTTCTCCAGTCTTTAAAAGACTGGAAATATTTACTACCGAATAGTTTTTTTTAATCTATTTACCAGTTTCTTTAGGGCGTGCTTATTTCTACGTGTTAGGTTGAACTTTTAACTGGCCAGGTGGCCTGTCTCCGGCATTCCATGAATTCTTTTCGACGAAAGATAAATAGCTCTGTATTGGGAAAGTTGCCAATATCGTGCCACTTAAGACATTTTCATCACCGAATTTTGACACCAGTCGTACACTGTTCCATACAATTAAAGAAGTTCAAATTAAAATTAAAGAAATTGCGACCGGAAAATCGTCGATCTTCGACCGCCTGCAACTTTGTTCGAACAAATATTTCAAAGATTCTTTCTTATTAACGGACAACCGATGAGCGTTTATGCATCGACTGTAAGACGCATCAGTCGAATAGAAAGTACCGCTTTCCTTTAAACAATCTTAACAAGCTGATCGAAATATATCGACGTTTTTAAATTCTTTAACCAGTTAGCCGTGGCGCCTCCTTTTCAGAACGCGCACCTATATGTGTCGCGAGAATTAAGCGATGACGAGTATACTCGTCGAACACAAAGTAAGTGTCGCTGTTAAAATATTGTATCAAAAAGACGGTTTTATTTGATAAAATTAACAATTTTATTATTAATATTTACTCACTCACTCGACGTTAACATATACTACATACATAATAAACGAAAAACGCGGAAAAAATCAAATACTTATAAAAGTTAAAGAAAAGCAAGCAAGGAAGCAAGGAACGATATATAGTAGCACTTTGCACGTCGAACACCAATATCGTGATTCTTTTCTAATCTTATTTTTATAACAATGTAAACACCTTCGTGCAGGATTCGTCTGAAAATATTCTGAACGTCTTGAAATTTGAGAATATGTTTTTGTTTTCACTAAAATTACAATTTAAATAGCCAATAGTCACTACTTTTTACGCACGACGAGTATACTCGTCGTGTCACAAAATACTGTCACTTCTCCATGACGAGTATACTCGTCAAATCACAGCTAACTGGTTAAATGCTGCCACTGTTTTATATTTCACTCGCTCGTTTCTGTCATAAATGCATCCACAGTCTGCCCGTTATAAAAAGAAGCGAGTTCTCGTTTCTCAATGTTCCCCTACAATTTTGTACTATTCTTCCTTTGGCCTACGAATTCGCGTTGAAAACAAATTTCTCTGCTTTCGGGAAAAACTCTTGAAATCACCGTGATGAACTCCGCGCGTTATCAGACTGTTCGGTCGTTTCAATTTATTCCACTCCGATATCAATGTAGCGTACACTCCAATTTACCAATTTCGCTAATTATCCAGTAATACCGAGCTCGGTCGCTGGAAAGGTGTTTATTACAAATTTTTAACGAGCTTATCGGCGATCGATTTCGCTACGGGCACCGTCGGCAGGGCCCTCGGCAATGGGATCGGGCCCCGAAAAGTTCCTTCAGTCTGACAGGCGCCAGACAGGATAACGCGGCCAATCAGCGGGCCGGTGCGCCGTACGAGCCACGAAACACCGTCGTTCCATTAGAGTTAATCTCCGGTCCTCGGTAATTAAACGGTTTCGTTGTACCTTTGTTTATCTCCGCGAGAGCCTGGTTCCCAGCTTCTTCCTGCGAGAGAAAGAGCAGCGGCGGCGTTACCTGCTCCGGTAGCTCCGTGTATC